TTTCTTTCTCAATGCCCGTTCCCACAGTAAAGAACAGCTGCACGCGGAGGAATCGTGGCCGTAATATCGGCGTTACCGTTGCGTTTCCGGCGTTACATCGTAACGCTGGCGCGGGATCGGAAGCGCGGCAGGGAAATGAACTGTTATTATCAACACCGTCTGCGTTTAATCGTAAGTTACAACGTCTGCATACTTCTCTCGCAACGGCGAAAGGACGATAGGATAGGACCCGAGGTCGTGGCATGCGCCGCGATACGCTGCCAGCCACCGTCTACATGCACCGGGCGAGACCTGTGCACGTACACTCCCCCTCATAAGTACAGTGTGCACGGTTAATGAAAATAGTCGGCTAACTAAGATACGACCACGGTGACCCTAAACAAAATTTAACTGGGATGAAAACTCGTTTGCTGAGACCTTCTGTTATTCATTTGTCTTCGATTCGTATTCAATCTCTGTTATTATGGAAAATAATCATTTTTAAAAATTCAAACAAGTCGAGAACGTGAATTTTATATTGTGAACAATTGTTACTCTGCCTCGATTGAAGTATTCTATTCTATTAAGTCAATACGAGCGAATATTTTGTTTAAAAGTTTAAAGTTCCGATACTTGTAAGCAGGAGTGCATGTAACAGTGTGTTGCACAGAGCGGAGAGAACCGAGAGACAAGTGAACAAGAAAGGGAAAAGGAGACACCGCGGGCGAAGAGAGAAAGGAGGAACGGTGGAAGGTGAACGATAAAGAGAATCGGAGGGAGCGAAACGGTGAGACGATACGCGGAAGGTGCAACCAAGAGGAGGAAGAAATAAGCATGAAAGAGTAAAGGAGGAGGACGGAAGGGTAATAAGAGAAAAGGAAACGAGAGGAACTGGAATGAAGAGAGGAATGGGAGAAAAAGACGAGTTTATAAAGGGAGGCGGAAGAGCGAGGCGGGACGACGCGGGGAGGACGAGTAACGAAGCGAGACGACCGGTCGGCGAGTCGCTTTGGTCGGACGGCGAGGGAACGCGGTGAAAAGAGAGTAGAAAAGAAAGAAGGGAAAAGAGTTCGCCTCGATGCGATGGCGAGGCGTTCTTTGGTGTTGCAGGCAGCGGCGGCATAAATCGGTCGAAGGGAAAACTTTTTGGGCGCGGAGTTACCAGTCGGTATCTCGTCTCCGCGCGTGTATGCACGTATATACGACACATATGTGTATGCGGTTTTATCTGGCGGTACTCGGGGATGTTGCGGGTTGATTTATCGCCTGTCGTTGCCATGGAAACCTCGGCGTGACCGGCTTGCGCGACACCCTCATATCCGAGTCGACTCTCTGCTTCGCCCTCTCGGTCTCTCCAGTCCTCGGTCTCTCTCGCTTTAACCCTATAGCTCCTCTCATCTTCTCACGCGATTCCTGTCCCTCCTCGTCGCGCCCTCAACGGTACACTCTTATTCGTACCCTTTTCCTCTCTAGAATCCGTTCGTTCCCGTCTCGTTCACTTCCAACGTGCCTATCTTTGTTCCAGCCGTCTCTCTCGATCCACCATAGCGCCTTCTCCGTCCCTCCCGTTGTCTCTTTTCCTCGCCTTTCCACCCGGCTTTCTCCTTCTTCGAAATATGTACGTATATTCGGGCTGCGTCTCTCCTTATTGCATTCCCGCTCTATTTGTCTTTACACCGTATCACTGTCCCTGTTGTTTCTTCCATCTCCGTTCATTCCTCCCGATGTTTCTCACCTTCCGTACCAACGTGTTTCCCGTTCTCTCTCCCACCATCAACCCCGAGTACTACTACTCACTACTCACTGCTCGTCGCCTCTCTCCAACCCCGGACAGGGCTCTCTGTTCCACTGTCGTTCATTTATCTCCCTCTCATCATCGTTTCCTTCCTTTTTCCATTCCGCTCTTTGTAGTCTCCCTTTCTGCCACGTTCTACCAGCGTCTACGTGTCTCTCGTACCCCCCTGTCGGCCCTCGGTCCTTCGCTCCGTCCCTCTTCTCCTTCGAACCTCTCCTTGTCCCCCTCGATACAAACCGTGGATGGCTTCGCTTCACCCACGCCTCGGCAACCCCACTCCTTCGGCCTCTAACCTCCCCGACCGCCCTTTTCCACGCTCCTTGCTCACGTATATACATACGTCTTCCGTTTCTCCCTCTCGCTCCCTCCCTCTCACCCTTCGAGTCTCCCTCGAACCACTTAGCCGACCGACCAACCACCCATCCACCTACCTACCGACTCACCCGACCACCTCCACCTCCCACCACCCACTCTCATCTTCCCTTCGATATGCACCCCACGCTGCTATCAGCTTCTACTCCCACGCGCGAGCTTGAAACCCCCCAGAGGAACGTCAAGGAGGCGACTACCGGAGTAGTTCTCTGCAAAGAACGAGAACTCCGGCACCACCTCCGCCTGAAACAGCCCCTTCGTCGTCCGCTTTTACCTCCACCATCCGCTACGCCAATCGAGCGCCGACTGGCTGCCGCTGTGGCTGCCGCGCGTACACGCTACTCCACGGAGTCCCCGATCGTTCCACGCGATCTAGATAAAGGACGTTATCTAACCATGCGGCTAATTAACCGGCCCCTGGTCTAGTTATCAGACGAAGAACGCTCTCTTTTGTTCGCTACTCGATCCGACCGACCGACAGCTCTCAGAACGATCTTTTCGTTTCCGATTTCTTTGGAAGATTCGCAGGGTGCCTGTGCACGTCGTTATCGACAGAGTTAAATTTAAGAATATTTCTACGATCTTAACTAGAAATTGTAATAAAAGAAAGCAGAGAATTTTACGAATTGCAACAATTTGCGTCGTTCAAATTGCAACGCTTAGGAAGAAAAGGTCGTCCTGTTACCAACTGCAGATAAACTTGAAGAACGACCTATTCTTGAGAGATGAATAATTGCTTGTAGAATAAAAAATAATTCGTGACTGACTGTTTTATTTATTTGAAAATCCAACGAATCGAAATCGGCGAAAAGTGGAATTTAAATGCCGATTGGTGACCATTTGTGTTGTTTGTCTATTCGAAATTGAACGCGAACCGCTGCAGGATTAAAGGAGGATCGATTAGCATACATGCGGGTCTAATTAGGGATTCAGCCGAGAATTACGAAACCCCTATCAGCGATTAGATTACTTTCCTGAAAGACGAGTTTCATAACGAGTTCAATTACTTTCACGAATAATGTTTCCCCTTACCAGTCGGCTTGCACGCGCAAAACAGTTAATTACTAGATCAAAGAATTTCCGGAACGACAATTTTCCCCGCTCGTGAAAACTGATTGAGAAATCAGTAAAAAACTGTTTCTCTCCTGCGTACAACTGGACACTACTTTCGTTTTCTTACTGTCGTTAATTATAATATTATTAATAATTCAATCAGATTTATAATAGTTTCAATAGGAATGCTTTTGTATTTAATGAAACTGAATAAATTATGCAATGTCTTAGATATTTCGTCTTTAATTTAAATGTTAATTATATTCAATTGTGTAATTGATTAATAATATTTGAATTGATTACATGAGAAGGCTGTTCTCTTAGCAGCATCTGGTAAAAGAGTTACACCCAGGTAATCAATATTCCAGGTATCTTGTTTTTCCATCACAAATTTTCATTTTTATTAAACGAATATTTGTATTATCAAACAGACATTATCTGTTTTTCTACTATCCCTTCAAGTATCGTTATTAAAATAAAGAAACACACGTTGTTACAAGTGAAAAACACGTTTCCTACAGTAGAAACCTAACGTCGATACACGAATATTCATTGAATTTTTCTAAATAGCGAAACACGAATTCCAAAGTGAGGACGATTAGCCTGAAGCAAAATAAAGCTGTGACAAGTCATGCGATCGATAACAATATGCAATGCGAACAAGTGGAAATCAACAAAGTGGAATTGAGTTTTGCTGGACTGGCACGGAAGACATGATATTTTTTTTTTAAGAGGAGCGTGCATTCATGAAAGATCTGATAACATCGGACCAGATAATAACGTCGCGAGAGGGGAGGAAGACACGACAGGAAATGTAAGGTCTGGGTGGTAGACCGAGCCCCGAGGAGAACATTCCCGAGCGCTCGTGTCGGTCTCATTGTCATCGACCCGTTGGTATTCCCCGACGTCATTGGTAGCAGGATCACGTGGTGTCTATCGCCTTCGAACCAGTCAACTCCCTCGTAAGTACAATGCACACCGTTCACGTAACTTTAAAACTGTACCGCATAGAGAAGGTCACCACCATGATTTCTGTAGAATCAGCATGTCGTATGCATGTCTAAAAGTACCGATCATCCCCTTCCAAAACAATGACTAACGACTATCTTGACACTTGAGGTGAACAGAAGATAACTGATGTCACATCAGTTTTTCCAATTTCTATTGTCACATTTTTGTTATCACGTCGTGGACGATTGTAATTGTTGAAAAAGTGCTAATGACACTCCCTCCTTGCGCAATTTAATTAACCAGGACAATGGCGAACTATCGAGCTCGCGCAGCACGATGCAAAACAGGCATTGCATATAATTAGGCACAGCATGGAAAGTAACAAGGTGCTCGTGCTTTTGATATGATAATTAACAACGCGAATACACGTTCAGACAGTAGGGGGCCTAAATGTAATGAATCGAGGCGTCGCATCGAACAGTAGCACACCTTTTCTCGCGTTCTCTAGCCACGCGCGCGATATCCTCATTTGCCCGCAGCTGGACAATGACGAAGAAGAACTGATATGTTACGATAAGTATAATAAATGTAAATGAATGATTGGTTAAGAATTAATCTAAATGAAATGAAATCAATTGTCTTATGGTCATGTAATTTAGTCGTGTAGACAATTTGTAATATGTGTAAGACATTTGTCTTATTTTTGCATAATACGTATGATAAGTACACGTGTTATCTATTAAGTAGGTGCAATTGCGTTTTTCAAATAGAAAACAAAGAGTGGGTCAAGTCTGTATGAATTCTTAGTCATTGCTGCGAGTCTATATAAGTTGCGCCAAAAGTTGATCGTGTCATTTATTGTTTCGTCGTCGAACCGTCTCAGCCTTTGCGTTTACTATGTTTTATCTCGCTCGAATCGTCATTATTGTTCTATTGATCGGATCTCTTTGGTCACAGGTGAGTCCTGCTTATGTTACTTGCATTTTGAAAACTACTTAAGAGCAACCAATTTTCTCTCAGAATGTTAGAATTATCAGTAAATGATTACAGATTACGTATGTCACAACATTTTGTAATCAAGTCACATAAATCAATAAATAATTTTAAATGTTCAGTGCAATACTCGTTTGGAAAATTAAACGCTTTCTCTTTATACTTCCATAACGTAGGAACATGAACCGTTTGGACCACCAAAATTTGGTCTTAGAGAACAGTCTCGTGCAGCACGATTTATCGGTCTCATTCCTGAGGAACCACTGTTTCCACCGAGATTCGGCTTCGGATTCCTGGAGACAATGAGAGAATCTTACTGCAGACGTTTCTGCGTATCACCATTTAATAGTACATTTATACAAAATCTGATGTGCTTTGTAAGATGCCCTGACTTGGCTCTACTACAGTCGTCATCAACGGTAACACCGTCAACGGGGCCAACAGCAGCACCAACACGAGCACCAGCAGCACCAGCACCAGCACCAGCACCAGCACCAGCGCCAGCGAACGCGGGATAGACATCACAGTCGCAACAAACATTAGCTTCGCAATCAATACTATAAAACGATCTTACGTGATTTCAAGATACTTAAAATCTGTCCTAATTTTTTAGAAAAATATGGACTTTGATTTATAAACGAGTAACTTTTAAGGATCCATGATTATCAAAATGTTATTCCATTACTAATAGTTTAGATAGGGTGAAGTGGGGTAAATGTAATAGTAGGGCAATGGCGATAGTTACTTTCTCTACTTCACAAGCCAACTAATTCTGCTACTTATAAAGTGTTTCATGTACTTATTCATTTACGCAGTAATCAATGCCGTTTAATTTCCTGTTCAATGTAAGTTAAAAATTGTTTTACTCCATAAGACACGTTTTGTAACAAAAATTCAACTTTTGAATTGATTAAACAAATGGTACGAATTTAAAATTGAATTATAGTTACATTATTCGCAATTGCACCACTTTACTTAATCAAAAATAAAAATAATGATTTTCCTAAGTCGTGTAAATTAATTTGCATACAATTTCTATATTTTTAAACAAATTATCCTTTTATTCTATCTCGAGAAATCCTCGAGTCGAATTGATTTGGAGCAAGTCCTGAACCTGTACGTTGGATGGCGTTACGGATACGAATTTCGCAGAGCATTGTCAACGTCGATTCCTACACTACTTTCTATCGCAATTGAATTAAGAAAATGGGTAATTTTAATTACATTTAGCA